GGTCAGCAATGTTTAGCACCGGTACGTTGCCCATGAAAAATCTATGTTGAGTATAATTTTATTATTATGCAACTATGTTATTATAAGTTAGGGTTGGGGCTTGGAGTCTAATCTATATATGTATTGAAAGATTTCAAATGATATATTGAAGATTTTTTAGTTAAGCCTTTCATAAAAATATAGTCATTTGTTTAACCGTAAGCAACTTTATAAATGTAATAACTATAAAATCTTTAATATATTATTTGAATTATTTCAATTCATATATATATATATAGATTATAATTTATATATATACAGTATATTACCCGAAAATATTTCCGTATTTCTGATGCCATTGAAGTTCTCGTTTGATATGAGGTGTGAATACTGTACTGAAAAAGTTGCCGACAAAAGGTAAAGGTGTCGGTCCACCTATACCTTGTTCACGCCAATAATTAGGTACTGGTGAGAATAAGAGCCTATTTTAAATATAACAACTATTTTAAAACATTTAATTACATAACATGTATATAAATAAAATATGTTTACCAATAAATATATGAACTTATTATAATAAAAATTATCGCTAGTAAAGTATACAAGGTATCCATCTTGAATAACTTCAAATACAAAAGCAATAAATACAATAAAAACTCAAAATTGTTTTAAGTATTTAAGTGTTATATTAAACTTAAATGTCATGCTATTTGTTATTTTAATGCACTTTATTTATAAAACCTTCAAAATAGTTAGCGTACCATAAAAGCAATGTAATAAAAATTATGTAATATTTGCTTGACAACAAAATATTACAGCAAATTAATTTTAATCTAGAATTGACTATTGTAATATTTAAACAAATTATATTTATATAGTTAATTGTGAATTAAAATAATTTATCTATTTAGAATATTCAATTGTTCGTAAATTCAAAACATTATTAATAATTAATTATTAAAACTTAATATTTTTCAAAACTTTATTTCAAATAAATTTTAGTTTTTTTAATTCACGCAACATCATAAATAGTGCAATATCATCAATGACAATTCTTTAACTTAATATAAAAAATAATTAATACAAAACAGAATAACAATAATGCTAGTCTATTTATTGTAGTTTTAAATATTACTTTATTTAAATTTTTAAAAATTATATTATAAAGTTTTAAACCTAAATAATAATGTAAGCTATAAATTAAAACTTAATTTTTATTTAAAAATTATAATATTAATGCAATTCTATACTAAACCTACATTATGAGCAAGGTCAGCATCAAATATCATAGAAGCTGCAAATGAACCCGATTTGGACACCGATCCGGAAAGAGCACAATATGTGCGATCCATACCCGACGCCCTACTATTCAATGGCCTACTAATGCAACACTACTTCATATCAACGAAATTCCTATCAAAAGTCAATGACTTTGAAATACAGGGGACAGACATATGGCTGGCCACGTATCCCAAGTCAGGTATGACGTGGACGGCGGAGATACTGTCCCTCGTGTGCAATGACGGGAATATAGACAATGTTAAAGATGTATATCTACCGAAACGTGTCAAACACTTCGAGATGGGTAGCCCTACCGGTCCCACGGGATTCTTGGGTCCCGAACGGCTACTATCAACCCATTTGCCCGCGACTCACATCCCTATTCAGTTAAAGCAACTGAAATGCAAGGTAAGTGTAAAAGTCGGCAATGTCCTAGTATAATATAAAAATGCTACCTACTTAATGCATGTCTCCTTGTATTTATCATACTATTATAAATCAACTAGATAATTTATGTGGTGCGTAATCCAAAAGACACGTGCGTGTCCTACTACCATTTCCATCGCATGACCTCGTACCTGGGTAAGTATTCAGGCACGTGGGACCAATTTACCAAGCTATTCCTGGCCGGGCACCTGGTCTACGGGGACTGGCTGTCCCACGTGGAGGGCTATTGGCGTTTACAGCGCCAGAACCCCCGCAATGTACTGATAATATCGTACGAAGAGCTTAAGACACGTCTACCGGAAACGATCGCAAGGGTCGGCCATTTTGTGGGCAAGACTTTCACGGCTGACGTCATCGAGAAAATGGCGAATCACTGCTCGTTCGCTGAGATGAGCGCCAATCAGATGGTGAACCGGGAGGTGTCGGTGGATACCCAGGTGTTTGATATGAGCGAGACTAAGTTCATGCGTAAAGGCATTATTGGTAAGGGTGGTCATTTGTCGTAAACATGTGACTATTTTTTAACCTTAATTATAGGTGACTGGAAGTCCATGTTTAATGCAAAACAGTGCAAACAGTTTGATGACAAGTATAACAGACGTCTCGAGGAACTGGATATTAAACTTGATTATAATTTATAATATGAATGGTTAAAGTGGTGTAAAAGTCCTGTAATAACATCTGTGAGATTTCCCTGAAAATTAATTTTGCGAAATATTTTTTAAAATATTAAATATTTCTATTAATAATGTAGTATTAATTTTATAATTATGTTCAGAATATTATATGGATTATTGATTTATTTAATTAATTAATTGTTAATTAATATAATTTTTTGATTAAATATTTATAATTTTTAAAAAGTTTTAGTTATCTCATGATAACCCTGATACAACAGTAACCATTAAACTATATTGTATTTATTACATTGTCTATGAAGTTATTTAAGATGGATGTCTTGTATACTTGAATAGTGATCACATATTATATATTAATATTACTCATTTTTAATCAAATTGCCAAAATATATACAACAATTGTTATTTATAACTTTTATATTTTTTGATAAGAGTTTGCATTAAACAAATTAATTTAGTAACATTATTGTTTTAACTTGAATATGACTGACATGATACTTTAACTTGATTTGTAATATATTGTATTTAGCAGTGTAAATCATGTATAGATATGTGTAGTTTAGGTAAAAGCATAGCTTATAGCTTCTGAATGCCCACAACAAGTCGCTTCGCCAGACAGATAGCCGTACCCCTATTGAAGACGGCGGGGACGTCAGTGTCGGTGACTCTGGAGAAGCGGAACTTCTGTGAGATCTTCGCTAACGCGAGCTTTGCCTTCGCCGGTGTGTTGGAGAAGACGTTGACTGAAGACGAGATATTAGCGCAATGTTTCCTATTCTTCTTCGCGGGATACGAGACATCACTCAAT